TCTCTCTCTCTCTCTCACAAGTAAACACGCAAACATACACATTCACCTGAGTAATCTTTCTACACTTCCAGCACACCAGACACCCAGATTCGTGATGATTTCACATTTTCTTATGCTGTTTGACACTAGCACAACACACGTGTGAATGTTCTCTCTCTCTCTCTCTCTCTCTCTCTCTCTCTCTCTCTCTCTCTCGCTCACACACACACGCACAAACACACACGCACAAACACACACGCACACACGCACACACACACAACCATTTGTTTTCTCTGGGACAAAGACTTCTGGGACTTGTCTCCGAGTTCACCTGGTCTCCAAGCACTGGCAACATACAATATCAAAGTCAAAGCCATAGAAATGTGCTACATGTGGGAGAAAGGGGGGGAAAAAGTGCCTATTGCTCAAAACTACGCAGTGGAGTCTGCTTATAAAACACTTCATGATAAAAACCTGATTTCCCCGTTAACTTTAACAACACAGGAAATGATATCCAACCACAGAAAGAAACAAAAGCGAATATTGAATCAGAAGCTTCGGGTTTTTCTTTCCAAAGTTTCCATTGTAAGTGTGTGAGTTTATTATAAATATATCAAAGAGAGAACTCCACTGAACTCAAATTATATCATACTTGGCATATAATCCACAAAACATCACCAGCTACACATCAACAACTATTGGTCACAACCTCCCAGCCTGTACTGTACCAACAACAGTAGTTTAAGGGAAAAAAATGCCTTCTTTCATTTTTTCTTTCAAAAACATATGTCTCCCTGCTCGTCAAAATAAGGCTCTTCTTGCTGCGCACTGTAAACTTACACAGATTACTGCAACTAAAAAAGTGTTAAATTCTGCATTCATGTTTTGGGTTTACTTTTCTACAGCGTAGACATTTTCAAGAGGAATTGAGGGTACTCTCTCAAATTTTGTGTTTTAAACCCCATCAGCTCAGTTCTAGATCATTTAGGAAGCGGGCTGTTTCTGCCAGGGCCAACCAAGGCTGAGAGGGATACAACATCCCAGTAGACCGACGCAGATACGGTACTCAATAAAAAAAAGTTCCCAACATGAGAATAAAACTCATATGTCTCCTGCATGCGAGAGCGAAAAGCCTGACCGTAACCACTACCCTACAGATGCCGGTAAGAGTACTCCTTTAAACAATGAGCAAACAAATCATAATAAATCATCAAATCAACTGACACTAGAAATTCACCTTCATTTTCAGTAAGTGATATTATCTCCTCAGCAAGGTGCACCTTACTTTGACAGGTAGTAAAACATTCTGCAATTACGATACAAAGTAGATAACATGGGAGAGGGAGTTAGAAATAACAGGAGTCAGCGCCACAGAGAACTGACCTTGATAGTAAACAGTTGGAATGCATGCACAGAAGTGATATACAATAAATACAGAAAGGCTCTTTCTCCAACTATGACTCTCTTTCTTGGATACATTACAATCTTTTTGCCTGTACACACACACACACAAACACACACACTTACTCACACACACACTCACAAAGCTCTTCAAACTTGTTTGATCATATCCTACGCTCCGTTTTCACACAATACCATTATAATTTGACAGCCCATTATTTTCAGAATGACTCTTCATTTCTCAGTTTTTTAACAATATATTGTGAACCTGTACTACAAACCAGGCAAAATGGACTTGTGATACAGGACTGGGAACGGATGTGCATTTTGAAGAGCCCTGCATTCAATCAACACACTCTGGTGAGAGACTTAATTCATAGCAACTGCTGTACCAACTGCATACTCACACAAAGCCAGTCACACTGTCACGTAAGTTCACAAATATAGAATCTTTTCACACTGCCCACACTAGCAGCAATGACAAAATACAATATCTTAGCAAGATCTTCAACAAAATATCTGTTTCCATGCAGCATGCATGTACCATAATAACAAAAGTATTTCCAGGTCCTAAGAATGCATAAAAGTTATTACAAGTAGTGTATTATCAATGTGTTCATGGATAAAATGCACATCATGCAAACCACGAATTGTATTATTTGACAAACGATGCATTTCCGTAACACGGAAGGGTGATATACAATAATGGTTAAATATTCATATAGATAGATTTATTTATATATTCATATATATCTAAATGCAAACAGAGGAGTGAAAATGTGACTGTGAACGACAGGACAGAAGCAATGACGGAGCAAATAAAGCGAAGCCAGGCAAAGAGAGTGCAGTAAAAAGAAAGTGAGAGACATAAGTCTTTGTACAGATGCTTATGCACTTATGGGAGTTCATAAAAGAGATGAACTGCAGGCAAACAAGCTCAGGCAATGATGATGATGATATATAATATTGTTACTGGACACCACTTAAAGCAAAACCGATCTACTTATGATGATTTTTTTAAAGTGCCATTACCTACACAAAAAAAGTGCTATTTCCTACAAAAAATGTGCCGCTACCTCCTACAAAAAGCTCCCATTCTCCTTCCCCACTCTCACAAACATTGAGAGAACAACAAATAATACTTTACATAGAGTAAATTTCAACCATGAATTGAGCTCATCTCCCCATTTTCTTAAAGTTAAAGTCAGTAAGAAGAGCTTTCATAAATATATATCATGTGACGCAGCGTGGTGGAATCAGGCTCCCGTCAATTTTTGGGCACGAAGAGTTATTGGTATCATCTTAAAGCTTGTTCACTTGTCTTTATTTGGATGAAAAAAATATCCATTTATCTTGAATACAAGTCGAGATATTTGCAAATGAAGGAGGTGGGGTTACCTATTTTCAGAGGTAAAATTAGTGAGATAACGGCTTCCAAAAATTACTTATTTTCTTAGCTTAAAAGAGTCGTTGGTAACAGAAAATTTACATTTTGTGTACTTTTAATCAACGTTTTTCAGAAAAATCCTCTCAGAAATTAGTTCTTTAAAAGGCATGAAAGGTGTTGAGCCAAAAAACAAAAATTTGATAAAAATTCACAAACCTGAGGAAAAATGCAAGTTTCTTCACTTTGATTATTTTGACGAGAGCCTGATTCCACTACGCTGCCTCACATATATATATTCAATTTCCCTGATGACAATATCAATAGAACTTGTCAGAACTGCAAATGGTTCATACCGTTTAACTCTTCTCTGTTGGTGCCAACCACAGTCATCAGCCAAAAGAGAGGCTGACAAGACAAGAACTTTCCGACTTTAATTTGTTCAAACAATTTCCGTTAGAGGAACAAACTGCGCTCAGCAAAGATACTTTGGCCACAAAGTCTGTGACTAAATATAAGAAGCATAACAACAGTCATCCCATATCCCTGCTCACCCTTGGTTTTGCCAAAACAAACATTTTGGTTTTTCAAAGCTTTACAGGGTATCTCTTATCTCATGGTTTGATAGACAATTCAGCTGAGTGCAAAAAGACCACAAAAAAAAAAAGAAGAAAAAACAACAAACGACATGTCGACACCAAATCCCCCTCCCCTTCAACCGCCACCGCTTATCACACAAGACTTATACTTGCAACACAGAAAATACACAGAACACTTGCATATCCATACCCATCTGTTTAAACAACTTATGCTCCTCAGTTCTTCACACACAAATATAACAACGAGTGAAAAGATGCAACCAGTCATAACATATCCCAGTGACCCCCCCCCCCCCCCCCCCATACCCCGGCATTCAGGCAGGCACTACATGAATTGTTCAACAAACACAATTAAATATGGTGTAAACGAGAAGAAAAAACAAAACAATAACCCCTTCCACCCCAAAAAAAAACAAAAAAACATCGAGTTGCTGTATGTCCATGAGAAAAGAAAAGTGAGCAGAAAGAAACAAACAACTTTTGATATTTCCTCTCCTCTAGATTCATAGCAGGGACAGCAACCAGTGGAATTTATACATGTCCAAAGCATGTTTCTATACATTTTGAGGGGAAAGAAAATATAAAGAATCATATTTTTTTTTAAACCATGAAAAGCAAACACATGCTCTGCATAACATACTAAATAAAGCTTCAAACGACAGCAGACAGCCAATTTGTTCTGTTTCAATTCATTTCGCCTAAACAAAGGCCATGGCGACAACAGAAGAATCAAATAATATACAGTGGTTTCCTCAACCAGTTCTATAAAAAGCCGTATAAATTAAAAGAAAACGGAGAGAGAGAGAGAGAGAGAGAGAGAGAGAGAGAGAGAGAGACTGGCAACGCTTGACTCTTAAAACAAGACAAAAGTGTACTGGCACTGCCACAACAGTAAAATGTCCACTTCTGGGTGTACGAGTGTATTCATCGCTTTGTGCGCAACTGTTACCACCACAGTGGGGGGGGCAAAACAGAAACAGAGATATAGAAACAAAAAAATTCCATCAGAAATCACAGGAGGCAAATGAGTGTTTGTGTGTGTGCATATGTACAAGTGTGTTCACATGTTTGCGGTGCAGATGTGTTGAAGTGTGATTTGTGAGATTTAAAAAAAAAAAAAAGAAGAAGTCAGCAAAAAAAAAAAGAAGAAGTCAGCAAAAAAAAAAGGGGGGGGGGGGGGGGGGAATTGCAGATCCATAAGTAAAAACAAAAAGAAATGCAAGTAGGAGAGATCAGCATGATACAAAACAGACAGTGGTTAAAATTTTTACAGAAGACAGGTGTCAGAAAAAGAGCAGAACGGAATTTTTAAAGAAATGAACACACAGAAAAAAACAGGAATGGGGAGAAGGGGAGAGAAAAAGAAAAAGAGATTTGTTTTAAAAGGAAGTCAAAGAAAAAGAGACAGATTGGATGGAGTGAGAAAAACGGGGAAAAGTGAGATGGAGAGGAAAACGAATTAAAGGTAGACAGAACAGGACAGATGAACTGAATTTTGTGAGACAAAAACGAGCAAAAAAATTTGAATAAAGAGGGAGAGAGAGAAAGTTGGGATGGGGGTGGGCGGGGGGGTAGGGAGGAGAGGAGAGAAGAGAGTGGAGGAGAGTGTGATGTGTGTGTGTGTGTGAGCCAGAGAGAGATAGAGAGAAAGAGGGTGATTGATGAACAGGTGTAAAGGTGATGTGTGAGAAATACGTCTTGTTGATGTGATTAGCGGGAAAAAAAAACCCAACTAAAAAAACGATGATGAGAGAGAAAATGTGAAATGAGAAGAGAGTAGTGTGACTCTATAGTCCTGTTGTCGAGATGGTTTACTCCTGCCAACAGTGGAGCTAGCTGTGTTTATATATATATATAATATATCTGTAGTGTGTTCATACTTTAGTCAGGCGAGGGATAGCTTGGGGCGGGGGCAGGGTCGTCACAAGAAAGGGTTCGTCGAACCACTGGGCGGGGGGACCTGCTGCTGCATGGCTGTGCTCTGTGGATGAAACGATCGAGATCGGGGTAAAGACAGGGTTGCCACTGGGATTTTGTGAAATTAACTGAAAATTTGCAAGGTTGCATTTGCAAACATCATCATCATCATTGCTTTTCTCACCCTGGATCAGGGTATAGGGCACGAACAAACACTTTCCACCTTTCCTTTTATCCTGAACTAGGCTCTTGATAACATTCCATGTCTTAGTCTTTAGTTTAGTTTTAATAGAGGTATTACGGCGCTCGCAACTGCATAAGGTCATATGAGCGCCAGAAGATTAGAGGTGTTACAAGAGAGTAACAAACATAAAAAAGAAGAAGGGCAGATAAGGACGACAGATGTTTGATAGTAAAGAAGGAGCAAACCACACCAGAGCACCCGCCTGCCAACCACCCACTTCCATGTCTTCCCACTTTCTTGCACATCAACATTAGCAAACATAAAGAGAATTGATATAGAGATAAAATAATACAGAAGAGAAATGCTTAGAATAGTAAGTGTTCTTCTAGTAAAAATTAGGGGGGAAAAAACAAAAATGGCATCGCTGTAAACTGTAAAGAAAAGCACATCATTTAGAGCGGCGAAAAAGAAACAGACAGACAGACAGACAGAAATAAAGGATGCAAAGAAAAAAAGTATTTAGTTTTCGTAAGAGATTAGCAGCACTTGCAACACAATAAGGTCAAATAAATGTCAAAGATTAGAGGTGTTACAAGAGAGTAACAAACACAAAAAGAAGGAGCTATAAAGACTACAGATGTTTGATAGGAAAGAAGGAGCAAACCACACCAGAGCACCCGCCAACCACCCACTGAAACTGACAGTCAACAACAAAAGAGGGACAAGAAAGTAATAAGCAGAGAGAGAGAGAGAGAGAGTTCAACGTCTGGTACAACTTACCATGAAAGGGTTGGCCACAGGCTGACCCCCTGCAGGCATCTGACCAGGCACTCCCCAGCCCGCTTGCTGCTGCTGTGCTGCGGGCATCATGAACTGCTGCTGCTGCTGCTGCTGCTGAGGGAACGCGCCCGGCGCAGCACCGGCGAAGGCACCCCCTGCCGAGACGGGCGTCATGCCAAACCCCCCATTCTGCATGGGAGGGAACTGGGCGAAACCTGAAGTGGCAGCCTGCGGCGGGAACTGAGCCCCGAACCCCGGGGCCACCGAGGACGTGGGCATGCCGACGCCGCCCGCCTGGGAGAACTGGCCGCCCAGACCGCCCATCGAGTTGGGCGCCCCGAACGGGTTGACCGTGGAGTTGGGGGCCGCGCTGGAGAAGGCTGGGGGCATCCCTGGGTTACTGGTGGCGCCTCCAAACGGGTTGGCTGAGCAAGGACGAAGAAGAGAAGAGGGGGACACAATTAGAGGAGGTGAGTGACAAAAACGTACACCAGAGCTAAACTGCTTTCCAGGAACACAAACATAAACAAATAAACACACACACACACACACACACATACACACACACACACACACACACACACACACACACAAACTTCTCCAAATGGGTTAGCTGATGAGGGGGGAAACAGAGAGAAGGAACACAATTAGACCTCAACGACAAAGTTATAGAACTGAGCCATTTTGCAGCTGAATTGATTTAATACCCCTTTCAACGATGTAAGGTTACTCAAGAGACACGTTCTACCAATCTAAAGTACATCTCACATACTACTACTATGACAATATCTTTCTACTAAAAATTCAGGACATGAACCCTCATCCTTTTGTGAGAGAAATTACAGATTGACATATAACACTTTGGAATAAAACCAAGCTTTGCTTTTGATTTGGTTATAAATCATAACTGTATAAGATGGTGACAACCTTATTGTCTTTCCTTTGATAGCACACTCAGAAACATGCTTTTAATATTTCACATCAGGCATAAAATATGAACCAAATATTACACTACAAGGCTTCTCAGCTCAAAAGATTCCCAAAAATTATATGGGCAGGCATGGGAAAGAGCATCTGACGATTCGTCAAATCTCAAAACATTCCACAGAAGCACGACAATGCACAAAATACACTGGTAGCCCCTTCTACGCACAAACAGTAAAACTTAACGAGTATGCACTCTTGACAAAGCATACTCCTTAACAAAGTACATTTTTCCCAGATCCTAATTCACAGAAGAGCTGCCTTTTCTCAACCACAGTCACATATTTACTGACCCAAAGAAGGGACGCAGAAGCAAACTTTATTTGTCTTTGTTTCTAAAAAATTAACAGATTTAAAAAGAAATCTGCAGGCAGAACTTTGTTCTCATATTATTTTCCGGGGAAAAAGAAGAATTTCATCTTAATCAATCAAGGTTAGGTTAGTACAGAATCAAGTTATAGTGTCCTGTCCTGGGTCTACAGAAATAAGAAATAAGGAGTAGCAGGCATACAAAGTTATGCTGAAGTTGAGGGTTTTCTTTTCTTTTCAACACAGTTGCAGGCCATGTAAGAGAAAGTAGGCTCTCAGAAGCAATGCCAGTAAAAAATACAAGTTGCTGCATATGAAGACTCAAAATCAAATACAAGGACAAACAACAATAACTCTCCAACATCAAAGGTACAAACACTGATGCTAATAAAGTCGCCAAACAATAATTCATTTTGCTACCAGCCCAGCCAAGGCTAGACTTACATTTAGTAGCTATAAATAAAACGTCACGAAATGGATTGCAACCAAAATGTTTCCCCCTCAAGAGAGCTCCCCTGGCGAACTGTGTAACACAAACTGGTAACCAAACTCAAAAACAATGAAAATGTTTAGTTTTTCGTAAGAGTTTTACAGCACTTGCAACACAAATAGGTCATACAAGTGCAGAAGATTAAAGGTGTTACTAGAGAGTAACATACAAAGAAGAGAAGGAGGAGAGACAAGGACGATACATGTTTGATAGGAAATAAGGAGCAAAACCACATCATAGCCCCTGACTGTTAACTGCCCATGTGAAAGTCTGCTCCTAAGTACATCAACACAGACCGAAAAGACAATGTTGCAGACAAGACTGCATGGCAGCAGATCATTGAGTTCACAAACATGCTTCCGGCATCAGAAGAGCTCAAGACAACAATTGAGTAGGCAGAACAGTCACAACCAGCACAAAAGGTTACACAAGTCTATTTTGAAATTCAGAGAAAATTATTCATGTCATCCCATCCAAAAATTTTCAAAGGAACAGAAGCAGGGAACATAATAATAGTTCTTCAAGATCTCTTGGTTGAGGTTTGTCGCG